CTCCGTTACCAACGGTAAGTTTTGGCTATACGAATTGCATGTGAGACACATACTGACTTGACTTAAAAGGCCCTGCCCCGATGGGATTGGACTGGCTCAGCCGCTTCAACGACTGCTGCCCCGACGCGCACGTCGACGCAACAAACATCCACTTCTACGACATCTACGACGAGCAGACCATCGACCGCTTCCAAGCCCAGGTCGAGAAGGCCGCCGACATGGGTGGCAAGAAGGTCTGGATCACAGAGTTCGGTCTCAACCCCGGCAGCGCCTCCGAGGAGCAAGCCGCCAGCTTCCTCAAGGACGCCATGGCGTACCTCGACGGCTCCGACAAGGTCCAGGGTTACTCCTGGTTCATGGTCGGTGACGGTGAGAACCAGCTTAACTCTGGCACCGGCCTCTCGGCTGTTGGCAAGGTCTACGCTGGTGCCGCTTAAGTGCCTAACTTCCTCTCTCTGTTCTCTTTTTAGGACGGATGGATTAGGCGTTTTTGTGTGTGGTTAAAAAACTTCTTCTCTGTTTGTTGTGTGTGTGTGTATATTTTTGGGTATATCCTTGGGATCAGGCTTTGTTCTCTGGGGAGCTTCATGGCATAGAACGAACGTATGCGCACTCTGATGCAAAACGATCGCTTCAGCATATTGCTTTTTTGTTTAACTTCTAGTTACAGTTGTGTTTGAGGGGGTGTGGTGGATTGGTGTAGCGATATATGTGATGAATAGAAGACTGTTGATTTCAATTTTTGTCCCTTGCATTCTGTGACTTGCTGAAAGCTGACGCGGTGGTGTTGGGTCGCAGAGAAGCATTCACTGACGTAAGCCCCAGTGCTGCTGTTGCGACGTTGCTTCTTCTCTGTTCTACACGACGAAGCACTGATGCATCAATTTTAATCTCACGTCTTGTTCTAATTACATAGAGATTATGCAGTCAGCTTGAGACCACCACAGCGATGTACACATGTGGAGTCTCGCAAGGCCAACCATGTCCTTCCTAACACGCGTACCCTCTCGTATCAACCGCAACGATACTCCCAGGCACCATAACACTTCCATTGACAGGCATTGCCAAACCCCCAGCAGTGCTCACGTATAGCACATCCCGATCCCTATCTGTTCTACCAAACGCTGCCGCGGTGTCCCCTGCGCACGTCACTGACCCCTTTGCACCTGCCACCACCTCCATCTTCTTCCCACCTGGACTCACAGCAATGACTGTGTTCTCATAGTTACTCACAGCCCACAACGTGCCATCCGGACCAAACGTGAAGTCATCTACAAAGTCGGCCACCGCAGTCAGATTGGCGTATAGTTCCACAACTCCCTTGGGGCTATGCGGTATGTACCCTCTTGAAGTGATGGGAACGCGGTATATGGCGATGAGATCCGAGTTACTGAAGTACACCCACCCATCGCGTATCTTGATACCATTGGCACCGAATCCCACAGTAGCGTTGTGCAGTTGCGGATACGGCTTGAGCTCTGGTCCGTCAGCGATGATCTCGCTTGTCCCAGTCTTCGTGTCGAGACGGAAGAGAAGGCCGTATTGAGAATCTACAATCATGACGATGGAGGGGTCGGAAGTCAGGGCAGCGGCGCCGTTGAGTAGTTTTGCTTGAGGTACATTTGCGATTTTGTGGACTGTGGGTATGGATATGTTGGGCGAGGCGAAGGTGGCTTGCCATACGGACCAGGTACCGGCATAGCCAGTCGAGTTGGTTGTAGCGTTTCCAGCGATGATGGCGTATGTGTCTGGGGCTGTTTCTGTGATTCCGAGGAGATCGGTGACGTTGGTGGCACGAAATTCGTAGATAGGTTCTAGGGTTGCGTTCTCTAGGGACGGGTTCTTGATGGTGTAGAGGATGGGGACTGGAGCTAGTTGGGTGACGAGTAGATCGCCATTTGGCCGGACGGCAATGTTTTCCAGCCAGGTTGGAACGGTGGGAAGCTGAGCTACTGTTCTGACTGGGAGAGGAAGGGCGGGACTAGGGAGAGGTGAGGATAATGTGCTGAGACCTAAGAGGGCCAAAGATAGTAAAGAAGTCAGTCTTCTAGGGGACATCGCGCTGTGCTATGAAATGAGATGGTAGTCGTTTCTTGTGGTGTAGTTAGCGAGATACATGGGGCACTTTCGACTGCCATGTAGATATATGCCAAAGGGAACTGTTGGATGCATAGTCATGATGAGCATCTCGTATCTAGTTAGTGATAATTTTGATGCCCTTAGTGATAGGTATGTCAGCATGCTCTAACTGCGCGTAGTTCATGTCCCTCCACCTTCATAGATTGGCGTTGGTCTAACGACCTTACACATCGTCATGAAGCGTTATTCAGCAGATGGCTGTGTGTGATTGGATCCGTCTCGTACTACGACTCCACTCGTAAACGCAGCCGACCGGGTGTTAGCCTAGCGTTAACACTGTAATAGATCCATGGATGTCAGAGGTATGTTTGCCATGCGTTGCCGTTCGGAAAGATGCAGATAGGAGGTGTCAAGAGGAAGGGGCGACTGAGGGCCAGTGACATAACCTTGGAAGCGTGCTTTGTCATCCCACGTGTGCTGTACCAAACCAGCCGTCATGACGCCATGCAGATTCTCTGGTGACTTCCGATCTGCCAGTGTCTCGTTAGCCATATTTCTTGCGACTGCAGCTGCCTGTATCGACCAATCTTGAATTCCGAATTATAGAAATGTATCCCATGCCAATCGCCTATCGATAACGCTCCTTTGACTGGACTGCTTGTGCCTAACGATGATGATTTCCACAAGTACTGAATGTCCAGACATTGTGCGCATCTCTCGAAACACCCATGACAAGCACATGTTGCCAACGCCAATCTTACACGAGGTATAAAAGTACAGTAACGCCGTCCATACGCCTGCGATGGAGGTTGTTGTTCCCTTATTGGTTCTCCTGCTTCGTTTGTTGTTGCTGCTGTGATTGTTGCATGCCTTGCTGCATCGCGTTCTGCCCCCAATTTTGCTGAAGGCCTGCACTATTCGGTGGTTGTGACGCATTCGAGTTCATCCGTTGCGGCCCGGGCGACTGCTTCATTTGTGGGGTCTGCCCCTTCCATCCTGGGAATAGCTCCTGCAGTTTGGTATATAGCTTGACGAGCTCGGTGGGTGAGGCGGGTATCGACATGATGGCGGGCCCCGGTTGTATTTGCTGGCCAGGCTTTGGTACCTTCTCGGCATTCTGCGCGAGGTAGGCGAGGTTTGCCTGGAGGCGGCGCATGTAGCTGGGGTTGTTAGCTGACGTTGCGCAAGGGATGCGCAGCACTCACTCTACGTATTCCTTGGATGGCTGCGGTTTGTCGCCTTCGGGCTTCCCTTCTGGCGTGGGCCCGACTTGGCCTGCCTTGCCCTGCGTCTGGAGCTCGCAGACTTCTTTGATGAGGATGCTGTTGATGTCGAGGAGGGTTGCGACGCGGTCTGCATTACGCGCCGGGTTGGCGGGCGACACTGGCGACGGGGGCACCTGCTTCACGGGCGTCTGGACCTGGGGCGGCTCCGCCTTGACGGGCAGCTGGAGGTTCATGGGGGTCTGCTGGCCGTTGGTCTGCATGCTGCTGGGCGAGGGCTGTGGCTGCGGTGTCGCATAGGGTGCCTGGCCAGTGGTGCTGGCAGGGGAGGCCGTCTGGCGGTTCTGGGCAAACTGGTGGTGGGCAGGCGAGGGCATCGTCTGCGCATAGGGCGCGTTCGAGTAGGGGCTCGGCGACGACAGCTGGTGTTGCTGTTGTTGTTGCGCCTGCTGCTGCTGTTGCTGTTGTTGCGCCTGCTGCATGGCGGCTGCTCCATGGTGTCATGTCAGCCAGGCTGCGAGCAACGCGCCCACGGGCGGCGATAGGGCAGGACAAGAAACGCGCACGTCACTGGCTTACCTCGCTGCTGGAGATACGGGGCTCCTGGCTGAATGCCATTGCTCCCCATGGCGCCACCCATGCCCGGGAACGACGGGGACTGCCCGTACTGCCCATGTGGGTTGGCTTGCTGCTGGAGCCGCGCCTGTGCATCGAATTGGGCGTGTTGCGGGGAATTGGCGAACTGGCCGCCATACGCATTAGGGTTATTGAAATCCATGTTCGGCACTCATTGGCCACGTCGCACAACTCGGTTTAGATTGATCGGTGGGTTGATCCGTTGATGGGAGAAAACGTGCGGTTCGTGATAAGCTTGGGTTTCGGCTCTAGAAGCTTTGCAACCCCAGCTCAGGCCAGCCGAGCGAGTCAAGTTGGCCGTCCTCGCCCTCTTTGTTCCCGCGCGACCACGTCCTCACGAGCGCACCCAGCATCGTCAAAAGAACTCCAGAATACATCGAATCCCGCATGGCGCCCTACTGGACCAGCGTGCAAGCATGTCCTAATGCAGTGCCTTAAGCAACCTCACACCTCCAGCATCCCTGCCACATGGGCCCACAAAAATGCTTGACATATCTCCCGAACATGGGACGAGACGCTTCCAGATCCGTCACCAGGTACCACGGCCTGCCATTAATACCGGGTCTGAGGCTCTTATCCGCCAACTAGATGAACCGCCGCCACCTGCATATGCCATGTGACTGACTCTTGGGAAGACTCGGCCATGTTGGCATCGAGGCATCTCGAGGCAGCACGCGCCCTCATCCTCCAGGACGGACGCACGCACTTGTTACCTGTTTCTCTCATGCACTTCTGAAAACGCCACGTTGTATTCAAGTTGAGCTTGGCAATCGAGTGTAACTACATCATAGGCTCCCATGCTGCCACTTCTAAGCGAGCTCTAGCTCATCACGCGGTGTGTGGATGGGTTTCTTAACCGGGATCTAACCTCTCAACGCTCCTTCGGTGTGTGTGATACATCCATGTGGCTGCATGACGTCGGAATGTGGGCGCCGACGAGTATAGTCCTTGTCTCAATAGCCAAACGTGCTCAAGAGCTCCTTGGGATCTGCACCTCTCGGGCCGAAGTAAGATGCAGAAATACAGTAGTAATAAGCACTTCGTAAGGCGGTGTCTCCCTGATTATTCTCCAAAGACCTCCTCCTTCGTCGGTGTCTCTTTGCGGCGCAGTGCCACAAAGTACGCCTCTTTAGATTCCTGGAGCCAGTCAGCGTGGAACATCCACTGTGCGGAAAAGCCTACAGCGCGAGAGGATTCCGGCTTCTCCCTGTACACCTTGGCGAAGAGACGCTTCAGCTTTGTCTCGAATGTCTTTTCCTCCGATCCTTTGTAGTACTTGCAGAGGAAGTGGCCGCCAGTCTTGAGCGTATCGAAAGCGAATGTCAGGGCGGCCATGCACAAGTCCTACGAAGTTTAGTAAAATCAAGAGTGATCGGCGGACTACCCACCATGCTGCCGGCGTGGTCTCTGAAAGCATTTCCGCTGGTGTTCATCATCCTAAAATATGGGTCACTAAGGCTCTTCTTGTAGAAGCCGGCCGTTTGGTCCCAGGGTTCTGACATGTCGCTGAGCACCACGTCTACTGCTCTGCCCTGCTGCGTATCCCTCTCCTTCAACGAGAGCCTCGTCGGAGCATCTTGTCCGCTGTCACTTGTCTTTGCTGGTCGTCCAATTGGTTCGAGTTCTGCGCCCTCCAGATGGGCATGTCGTTCGATATCGATGTATCCTCGTTCCATGTCGTCCAGCTCTTCTTCGGTAAGTCCCTCGCTCGCTTTCCCAGAAACCTGTCTTCTGGGTCTGCCCAGGTCTGGATCTCGCACATAGGCTCGAACTTCGTCTTGGATTACAGGTGACAGGAAGTCGCCTTGTATGGTGGAGACGCCTCGCGGGGGTTGTGCGGGTATCAAGTCAATACCTATGACACGACCCTCTGGAGCAGTACGATCTGCAGCAACCTGGAGACATTAAGATGCTGTAGTTTGTGTAGATGGATCTGGCGAACCTGGGACCATGATCCTGGTGCAAAACCCTGGGGTCCTTTAGCATCGTGTTTTCAGTGAAGGTGACAAACATACGAGATCGACGACAGTCTGCCCGGGTTGGAAAAGCTTGTGCTTGGTGTTAAGCTGTGGCACGTTAGTCAGTGCGCAGCCACAGGCCGAGGCGCAATTACTTCAAGCAGCTTGAATGCAGCGCGACTCTTCAAGCCTTGCACTTTGGCTTCTTTGGCGAAGAAGTCCCTGCCTTGGCGTGACTTCCATCTTGTTGAAGATGAGGATGCACGCCGATCTGAGAGCCTGTGACTGGATTGGTGAGAGTCACGAGTCGCGTGTCTCAAGGCAAAACACGCTGGCGCTACTGGATGATGGGAAGACTCCAGTAGCAAGCTATCTGTGAGCTGCCGAAATATACGACGTGACAGCATAGGGAAGGTGCAACTGTTGTGCGGCGCCTTCGCCTTCGCAGAACTTATATACTCTTATCGATAACGTACGTCAACGATTTCGACATGTCACCCCAAGTCCAGGTCCTTCCCAAACACTCGCGATAGAGAGGACGATAGCTAGGAGAACTATATGTTGCAAGCGGCCTTGACATGACTTGAAGGACAATCACTGTGTTCGCGATAGCTCATCATCTCGGACTCGAGATGTGAGGTCATCTCCCGAGATATTATCGTCTTCAACCTCGGAACGCCGAATCTACGATTACGATGTGTCAACGTCCACGGCCGACGTTTGTACCCCGCTGTTCTCCAGAGTCTAGTGAGCACGCGATCTCAGTTGGGTGTGGGGTCGTGTGCTCATCGAACGGTACGTTTTGGATGCCTTCGCAGTATCTGGTGATGGAGAGCCCGGGCGGTACCATTCCGCATGTGACGACACCCATCCAAGACAGATACAGGCTATCAAGATCATGAGCAGCAGGACTCTAAAACAGCATCCTATAGTGTCTCCAACAACGGCTGACGCAGAAGGAGTGACAGTGCGCAGCTGACTGCGTCGTCTAGTAAGGGGTGACTGAGGCGCAACGCCAGTTTGCGTGCATCTGCCCTGGTGTTCCCCTGACGTGTTGCGATGATGCGCGTCGAATCATGGCGGCTCGCAGTCAGCCCCGTCAAGGGGCTGATGCCGGAGGGAGACGACAGGTGTCAACCAGAGCCAAGTATCAGATCGCGAGTACCCGGGCCGTCAGCGAGGACCGTGGTTGTTATAAGCATGGCTGATGGCATTCGTCGATTCGTGGCGCTAGACTAAAATTCGCTCCTTCCTCCCGCGGTATCCTCAAATCTCCGCTACCAGAGACGATCCAAACACGACAACCCTACCGAGGAGCGACGCCCATGACACACGCGCGACCACACGTACAAACACTCACTTGAAAGCTGCCTTGCATGGAAGATCGAATTCACCGCTCATCGACAAGTCCTGCTCACCTCGTACGGCCGGAAATCTGTCTTCACCTCCGCAACACCATTTTCCGATGACCTCGACACTACGTCGCGCGACCTTTTCTTTCCGTCGATAGAACTTGTCCCCGCTCGGACAACAATATCCTGCTTTTCAGAGCAACAGCGCCGCGTTTAGAGCAACGCCAAACAGCGTCATGTCGAAACCATCCGAGAAGCCGCAGTCGCAACCGCCCGCCATCATGAGCGACGAACCGGGCAAGGGCATAAAAGTGAGTCAAGGTAAAATCCCTAGTCGCAGGACATCAATTGACCCCTCATCGCAGCCCCTCGGCACGCCCGACATAACCAGCCTCCAGCGCGTCCGCCAGGTCTTTGCGCAGCCAGTTCTGGCTTCCTTCGTCGCCGGCGGCGTAGCTGGCGCGGTCTCACGAACCGTCGTATCGCCCCTCGAACGCCTCAAGATTCTATTCCAAGTCCAGAGCGTTGGTCGCGAGGAATACAAGATGTCAGTACCCAAGGCTCTGGCTAAGATGTGGAGGGAAGAGGGATGGAGAGGGTTCATGGCCGGAAACGGTACCAACTGCATACGGATTGTACCATACTCGGCCGTACAGTTCAGCGCATACAACGTCTACAAGCGGGTACGTCTATTTCTCTACTGTTCAGCGTGTTCTTCATTTCAGCGAGCGACTTGCTTTTCAAACATGGGGTGGATGGGACAAGGCAAGGGCGGACGAAAGAGAGAGGGCGGTAAGTTGGGAAGGATCCGAAGCTTCGTCGATGGAAAGCTCAAAGTGAGCCGGGGGGAGATGTTCAAGGACACGGAGGTTCCTGCAAAGACGACGGCGGCCATGGTATGTCCCTAAGTTTCATAGCTAACTTGCCTTAGTTCTTCGAGAGCGAACCAGGTGCCCCTCTCGATGCCTACCAGCGACTACTCTGCGGTGGTCTTGCTGGTATCACCTCCGTCACGTTCACCTACCCACTCGATATCGTCCGAACACGCCTATCCATCCAGTCCGCATCGTTCTCCGATCTCAAGAAGGAGGCTGGCCAGAAGCTACCGGGCATGTGGGCGCTGCTTGTAACTATGTACAAGACCGAGGGCGGTTTCCCGGCGCTATACCGTGGCATCCTTCCCACAGTGGCTGGTGTCGCACCGTATGTTGGCCTTAACTTCATGGTGTACGAGATCGCCCGTACCAAGTTTACACGCGAGGGTCAGAAAGACCCGGGTGCCATCGGCAAATTAGGAGCTGGTGCCGTCTCCGGTGCTGTTGCGCAGACCATCACCTACCCATTCGATGTTCTGCGGCGGAGATTCCAGATCAACACAATGAGTGGTATGGGATACCAGTACGCAGGAATCGGCGACGCCATCAAGCAGATCATCAAGACAGAAGGCTTCCGGGGTCTGTATAAGGGTATTGTGCCCAACCTTCTCAAGGTCGCGCCTAGCATGGCTAGCAGTTGGCTCAGCTTCGAGATGACACGAGACCTGCTCATGGGCAAGGGGAACTCGGGCTTCTTGTAGGACAGACAGTCCCACCTTCACCATCGTCGAAACGAACTACGGCAGAAGAAATCGACGAGACACTTCACATTACGAGCGCTCTTCCGACGGGAAGAAAGATACACGAAACCGTTCACCGACAGCAGGTGGCATTGTATAACGTCAACGAAAGCGATTGATACAAAACACGAGCATTGCATTTGGGAATGGTCACCACGGCCTGGGGGTCTGATTTGGGAACGTCCTCCCATGGATAACAGCGAAGGCGTTTGACTGGGTTTTAGTCCTTGCAAGTTGCACAGCATTCACATGCAACTTTTCCTTCTTCCTCTTTCTCTAGAGCCGAAAAAGAACGAGCGGTCATGCATCATACATAGAAGCATATTCGAGTCTGCCAAGCGGACATGATTTGGCATGGCTTGTACAACATAGATAGTTTCATGATGCCACTGGGAAACTGGGGATAATGGAACTGCTTTACATCAATGCTGGTCCGTGATGTATAGAGCAGCGAGTGTTCCGCCACGTCCAGAACGTCATTTTCTATCCTCATCCCCCATGCGTGAGCAGAACAGAGGTACACGTCGTCACTGACCCTCTCCCTTCCACCGCACAACTAATCATCCCCTTTCAAAGGTCATCATTCAAGCGCTTCACCACAACCTCTCTCACGTTCAGGACATGTGCTGTTCCCCGTCAGTACCGCTCGAAACGGTCCCTTCAAATTGGAATACAGATACTTACATGCCCTTGCACCCGTGACAAAAGCAATAAGAGTGTTCACACTGCTCATCGCGACAGTATTCCCAGCTCTTCTTTCCTTTCTATTGTTGATGCATGTGTGAGTCTGCGTACGTAGGAGAGGGGGGTGTTGGAGTGCGTACGTTGTGACATGTGTTGAGCTTGTCGATGCATATGTTGCACCGTTTTTTGGCAGCTGTGATGACTTCTGTTGGTATGGGGTCTTGGTCTGTGGTGATGATGGAGCGCAAAGGGAGGGTTGATAGTGCTGTAGGGGAGACCCGGTTAAGGGCTGTAGTCGCGGTGACTAGGACGAGGAGGCAGGCTAGTATAGCGACGGGTTGGATGGGGAAGTGCATGATGTTGATTTTGGTGATTGCTGGGTTTCTGTTGAGATCATGGAGTGATGGATTGACCGAGATCGAAGCGCGATATTGAAATAGATAAATCGTGTTCTACGTGTCTGGCAGTCGTCATACAAACTGAGCAGTGAGCCGCTGGCCTAGAAGTGTTTGAAGCCTGGATGTGAATTGTGCGGTGAAGTGATTGGAATAAAGTGTCACATGTAATGCACGTCCACGTAAATAGTTGAACTAGTATGACATTTGAGATGGTCTACAGGGCGATCAGCCCCAAGACCTTTACTCCGAATGCAAGGGAAAATGTTACAGTATTTACAAAGACCCTCTATAGCTCGCCATCCTTCCGCAGAGTCTCGTTACCCCAGGGCTCGCTTGTCAAGCAAGTCAATCCAGCAGCCGGCTCGCAGCTCTTCCTTCCGCTCAAGGGTCCTGGTGATGGCAGCTTGAGGCCGCCAGCCGCGTATTGGCGTCCCTGTTCGTTGGCAAGAGCCTCACCGGCGCCCGCCTCTACATTGAGCGATCCCTTGCCAGATGCCAGACCCTTGCCTCCAGGCTGCGCACCGGTAGATTGTTCGGCGGCCTTGAGGGCCTTGAGCAGGTTGACTGTCGAGTCGTATGTGAGATCCTCGTAGTAGTCGTCGTTGATCTGGACCATGGGCGCGTTCGCACATGCACCAAGGCATTCGACCTCGGAGAATGTGAAGAGGCCGTCTGCCGTGGTCTCGCCGTGGTGTACGCCCAATACGTCTTCGCAAGCCTTCATAACCGAGTCACTGTCGCAAAGCATGCATGGGGTCTTCATTCTGTCAGCTGCTGCCCTCGATGCTAAACATGGTGTCTACTCACAGTTGTGCAGACCTGGACGTGGAACTTGCCCACGGGGTCCCGGTTGTACATGGTGTAGAAGGTCGCAACCTCGTATACACGCATTGGTGGCATCTCCAGTATCCGCGCAACCTCGTTCATGACGCTGATGCTGCAGAATCCGTGCTGGCGTTGTCCGAGGTCGAGGAGCGGCATGACGGCGGCCTTCTTGTATTGGGAGGGGTATCGAGAGACGATCTCTTGGATGAGTTCCTCATTTTGTGGTGTAAATTTGAAGGGAATTTTGAGGTTGTTTTGAGGCGTGTCGCGGTGCTACAGGCGTATTAGCTCGGCTTCCAGCGCAAGATGAATCAAATACATACGACGTTGAGCGAGCCGCTCTCGTTCCATGACGGTCGCGAAACGCTGAAAGCCCGCCATTGAGCCCTCTGGAACTGTCGCGAGGCCCGTGGGGCAATCCTGCATGCGAGGGGGACGAGTCTTGAGGCCATGGTGGGTTGTGCTGCGGGCTGGAGGCGATGGCGTCGATTGAAGATGTCAACGATGAAGCTCATCCGAAGCGCCAAGTAAAT